TTTTTTGCTTGGGGTGGCCAAAAAGCCAGAGCCGGCCCTGGTCTTAGGTTCCTGTCTCCTTATCACTGGCAATGCATTGTGTGTGCAACAAACTCAGCCTTTGTGAATCCCAGGGATTTTCTGGGTGCCTAAAAGTTAGGTGTGACAATGCTGAGTGTTATGCATCAACTCCTGGAGAAGTCTCTTTCCTGAGTTTGTCTGCTCTTCATCTGGCCTGGATGGGATCATTGGGTCAATCTCACCTAAATAGTTTTGAGGTCACCATTTAGTTTCCTTTTATTCTCCTATAGGAGCTTTTATCTCTCAGCAAGATAGGGTTCAAGTGCCTACGTGGGAGTGCTGCTCCGTGACTAGCAGTAAGTTTGAAGGTGGTGGGGGGGGTTAGTGGGAAATCTCACTCCAAAACTTTGGCATTCCCATCTCACATGCCGTATGGATGGCAACCACCAGCCCTTCCTATGGACTTAGGCATCCAGGCATCACCAGTGTGACATAGCTGAGTTCCTGTGGCTCAGGTGGCTGGAAAAATTAAGAAGCCCACATGATCTCCCATCACTGAGCAGTCTCAGCACTTGACTGTAAAGCTATTGTAGGAAAATATTCTTGCACTCAAATAGTTAAACTGTTTCATTAGTTATGTGAAACCCACAAAGACCATTAAAAAGCATTTCAGTGATACTTTTTAGCTTTATGTTTCAGACCTATTGTTTTCCTAACATTAATTATTCACTGGGCCGTCGGTATAATTAAAATGCATACATTAGAATGTGCATGCAATAGTGCTAATTATGCAGAGATGCTTTCCCTGGAAGTCAAGTATTGGGGACAATATAGTCTTATTGTAAATTTGTAAAAAACGCAAGTTTCTGGCTCATTGGCAACCAGCCAGATCATAATTGTTTTTTTTCTGGTTAAGAACTGTCAAGTACATGTTTACAGCTTCATCACTGCGTGCATAGAATAAGCAGCCTAATTGTTTGAGGTGGGCTACATTATTCGCTCTGAAACACAACTGAAACTGCTGTTCATGAGCATTCTAAACTGTCAACTTCATCTTTCTCAGCAGAAATTAATACACAGTTCCCTTACCATAAAGATATTTTTTAAAAAGCAACAAGGCAGCTTCCAGGTGCATCCCAAGATAATCACAACTACCTCCATTGCCTTATTGCGTAATTATGCTTCTCTGCCGTGGAAAAAGATATAATTTCCTGCTTGCTTATCGATCAGATGCAGGGAAATTGAATGCTACAGCACATACTTTATAAAGGTCACGGATTTTCTTTCCTCACAAAGGAGTTAAAACTTCCAGTGCAACATTAAATTGTGTATAGTCAAATGAATTTACACTTCCAGAAAACTAATACCATTTCCTCTGTTCTGCAAAGAACAATGCTCATGTTTGGGTGCAATAAAAGAATCGTGTGAAGGAAGGCATGCCAAATCATATCTGACATTTTATCTGCTAATATAAAGCCTGATTCCTTCTTAGATCTCTCCTAGGTAGCTCAAGAAAATAGTAAGAAAAAGCTTTATATTATGTGTCTGAGGAACATCAGATTCGCTGGAAATGTGTGTCACAACCTAATAAACTTCATTCTGGGTCACAGGGTTCATCTTGGTGAGATGCAGGCGTGATAAAAATCCATAAAGGTGGTGATTCTTGACACATGGACAGTCTGCAGCTAGCAGCAAGTACAGCAAGTACAGGAGGGTATGATGATGATGCAATCATTATAAGTACAAACTCTTAGACCCAAAGGGTTAATTACCTAGTGTATTGCTGAAAGGCAGATAATATGCTGTATAAGGCTATGGGAATGTGTAAAATATATGTGAATGATTTTCTTGGTAGAAACCTGCAGAGCTGCTCCATTTGTAAAGATAGTAATTACATTCACATCAATTTAGCCCACAGATGCATATTACTGTAATAAATGTTGATATATTGTATTCATTTACAGTGAATCCATCCATTGTGCATTAGACTGGAAGTGCTTTCACTTAGCAGTTTCTTTAGCTGTTGCTCTTTATTGTGAAAATGCAATTAATGGTATCTGACATTTCATTTTCTAA